AAAAAACTACTATTGTTATAAATAACATTCAATTGAACTAAACTATGCATGCCTATTTAAATATATTTACACATGGCTTGTGTATATCGTATATATACATCTATATTATTCCTACCTTCGGTGTATAGGACGCAAGCAGATTTTGACATCAAATTTTGGGGTAACAAAGTGCGTATAACACGTAAATACGGTATATTAAGAGTGTCCTTTGTTATTACCAATTATATATGGCCTTTATCAAGTAAGGTCCAAACTTGACAGGTTAAATCAAAAGGATATTAAAAGCACCACCAGGTTCGAAATACTGTATTTTTTAATATATTTAGTTGGTTAGAAGGTCTTTCACTGCTTACCCTGCTCTTCAGTCAAACTAATTAGATACACCACATAATACTTATTAACAAAATCAGAATGATTATACAATGAATATATCCCCGGAAAAATATATTAACAAACAATATATTTTATGTTATTTCAAATCCATAAACATCGTGATCTTATAAATAATATACATTATTTAATAATCATAAAAATAACTCGTAAATAAAACGTAATTAAATACTTATGAAATTCAGAAGTTATTTACGTAAAGTTCAAATTACTTCCAAGTTTGTTTATGAAATAACTTTTATATAATATTAATAATATTTTTTGTTGGGTGTCACATGGCCAAAATGAAAAACGGAAGAAATGTTCTTGTAATAAACCATGAGTACTCAAGATACAATTGTAAAAATGTTCAGAGTATCTAAACTCTGACTTGGTTCTTAACATGAAACTTAAGTTGATTCATTATATATATATATATTGTTACGTCTCCGTTCGTTAGTTAATTTTTCGTAAATTCGTTCCGACGCAACTTTAGCGACACAAGTCCTTTCTTAAATAAAACTGGTTTATTCTTTCTGAATATAACTTTGCGATACACTTAATTTCAACAGTCGCGCTATAACAAACGTCTCACGTGCTCGACTTCAACAATACTCGGTTCAATTACACACACTCTGACTGCAGTTCAATTACTCATTGTCCTGTCACGATGTGACCGTCTTATATACACCAGCTACCCCCAATCTAGTAGTCTCCCGATAATTCACGAAGGTTCGAGAAGGACGTGGCGTGATACTAGTCACGTGACCTCGCTGACGCAACAATATTTTAAAATTGTCAGTTTGGCCAACGTAAAAGTCACAACATACTGTACATTTTAACATACAGATACAGTTCTGAGAAGTACAAGAAAAAGATATTTTTATTTTAAACATAATAGTTTTATCTATGTTTTGGGTAATATTAGTATTAATAATATAACCCAGATTACAGAGTTGACATCTTAGGTTATTAGTATTACATCGAGTGATATGTTCTTGTCTATTTTCAGTTTGACTTTTATAACAAAGTAACTGGTTCAATTTTTTGGCTGTTTATAAGTATAAGCTACAATAAAATTGGCATTACTTACGACTATAGACGTAGAAGATCTGATCAAACTTTTACACTCCTTGATTTTTAAATTTTTAATCCTCGGGTATACGTAGTGACAACTGGTAAAATTTCTGTCTTATTAATACAAATAGCCTTTGGTCCATATAATTTGGCGCGAAATATACAATTAGGCCCTCTGGATAATTTTAGTTTAACAAAAACATTTTTAATTCATTAAATCTACTATATGGTAACTTGCTAGGGTCATTATTGACCACAAATTCTGTGGTTTATTTTATAACAGCTTTTGCAAGCAAGCTGTGTACGAATGACGGCACCTGGTGGTTTAAAAAAGAACTTAATCAGACTTGGACGAACTTCTCCATGTGTGTGACTTACTTTGTCGACCAACAGGGAGAGCCCGAAGACTTGGAGCTGAACGTGTACAGCGATGGATTCTTTGAGGTGAGAGTGATTAACAGTTCTTCTATTTGACATTTCCCAAGAGGAAATCCTCAATAGCTGTGGCACTTGAAATTGTTTTAGGCAGGATTAAAGTAGATTAATTTATGATACCTTTTTTCCCTTTTTATTAGCTATATTTTGTGTGCCAGCAATACCAAGCGTGGGGAGCACGTATGTCCGATTTAATTTTATTACTCATCAGGATCTCTACGAGCCTACCCTCAAATTTAAATTACTTTATTGTAAATCCGTAAACTTGCCGCTAACCTACTGGGGACGTTCCTTTTAAGATATTGACAGATGCTGTTTTATGAGAGCGATTCCCATTACCTTCCTTAGCTTATGTTTGTTCATGAACAAGAACACTAGTTAGGATCCTAAAGACAAACGTATTAAATATCGCTTCAAATTATGTACAAAAACTCAAGTCTTAATCAGTTGAAGTTGTCATTAGATCTCGACTTATCACACCGTACACTGTGCAGGTTATTAGATCTCGATTTATCACACCGTACACTGTGCAGGTTATTAGATCTCGACTTATCACACCATACAACTTGCAGGTCATTAGATCTCGATTTATCACACCGTACACTGTGCGGGTCCTTAGATCTCGATTTATCACACCGTACACTTGCAGGTTATTAGATCTCGATTTATCACACCGTACAACTTGCAGGTTATTAGATCTCGATTTATCACACCGTACAACTATGCAGGTTGTTAGATCTCGACTTATCACACCGTACACTGTACAGGTTATTAGATCTCGATTTATCACACCGTACACTGTGCAGGTTATTAGATCACGATTTATCACACCGTACAACTTGCAGGTCATTAGATCTCTATTTATCACACCATACACTGTGCAGGTTATTAGATCTCGATTTATCACACCGTACAACTTGCAGGTCCTTAGATCTCGATTTATCACACCGTACACGGTACAGGTCCTGAGATCTCGACTTATCACACCATACATTGTACAGGTTATTAGATCTCGGTTTATCACACTGTACACTGTGCAGGTCCTTAGATCTTGATTTATCACACCGTACATTGGGCAGCTTGTTAGATCTCGACTTATCACATCGTACACTGTACAGGTTATTAGATCTCGATTTATCACACCGTACAACTTGCAGGTTATTAGATCTCGATTTATCACACCGTACA